TGGCACAGCTACATTTTTCTCTGGTGACGTTCCCAATCTAAAAATCACTTAAGTGAGAAGAGAAATTCGATTGTAGTTGTAGACAAGAATAATGCGGAAAAGTTTCTTGGCAGTCCTATTTTGGGCCCGCACCGTAGCGGATGCCTAGGTAATCTATCAGTTTGTGAGTGTCTACAAAATGCAACTCTCTAGATAACAGGTTTAAAGTAAAGATTTAATACAGTCTCCATCTCCTATGATGTTGCAGTGACAGTTTAAAACTCATTCTCTAAATCTCAGCAGACTTTATAGCTAGCAGTGGGCCAATATAAAGTTTAATAGCATTACAACACATAAATCATCTTTTAAAGATGCTACTAGTAGCTCCAATATTAAATGCAGACAATCGCCCGTGTTATAAATAATTTATCAAACACCATTTCAGATTAGCCTTCCATGCTGAGTTATTTATTTTAGCCTTTTCTGTACGATTCCTAAGGCACTTTTTGAAAGATCCATTACTGGTCAGTTTAATGAACTTGGGGGTCTGTTTTGTCCCCTCAAGCACTCGGGTACAGCTGTGGTGACCATTACGTGGCCGACGTGGACCTCTTTGTGCCTTTTACAAGTGCTGCCCATTTGTCATGTAGCGGTAAATGGAACTGCACATTGGAGTCCGGGGACACATTGTGCGATGCGGTGATGGAGACAAACAGATAGCTCTATAAAGTGCTGCTTGTCACAGCTGACTTGCAGTACAGTACATCACTCTTATTGTAATCTCATTTAAGAAGCCGGGGTGGCCCGGGGGACTGATATTCCCAGTTAGTTTGGTCTTTGTAGCCATAAAGCAAGAAGTGTTCCTTTTATATTCTCCCAACTTTTAGGGAGTGTGCTTTTTGCTTGGATTAATTATTATAGGAACTTCTCTATGGCACTGTGTGAAGATTTGTCAGCAGGTTTGTCTGGACCTCCTTCTCCTGGCCTGGGCTTTGTTATAGGCAGTCGCTGCTTAGAGATAAGTTGTGTTTTTAGGAGCCCTCTGGCTTGCTTTATTAAATAACTTACCATTTATTAAGCAGTAGCTATGTGCCAGAAACTATAGCAGGTGCTTTCTGTGCTTTTATTTCTAATTTGTTAGTAATCTTGTGAAGTAGGATTTATTATCATTATATTGCAGAGCAGGAGAGTAAACTCAGAGAGGTGTAGTGACTTGTCGAGGGTTGCCCAGCAGTAAGTAGTAGACTGGGGATTCAAACCCATTCTGTCTGCCAGATGACTTTGAACCTGGGTTCCCCAGCTGGTGGTTAATCATCAGGGTCATGATGATCTTTTGGCTGAGTGTCTGAAAGCAAAAGGAAGCGGCTGTTTTTTGGTAACGAGGATAAGTCCTATTCGCCCATCTCCACACTGAGGTTCCGTTGTGACCTGCTACATAAATGCATAGGCAGCTGACTGGGGGAGGATGCCTCCCTGGCTGTGGGAGACAGCGTTGCACCTGGGCCTGACCAGCTGGGGTCATGGACTCTGCAGGCCCTTGTCAAGGCCCCTCTGTAGCAGCTGTCCCCAGGCAGATGCTGCCCAGGACCTAGGTCACTCTGCATCTTCCAGAAAGGGGAGGTACAATTTCCCTACGAAGAATTAATCCTAAAGGAAGAGACAGTGCTTCTTGCGCTTACTGTGGGCCAGAGACAGATACAAATGTGGTGTTTTCCCCACCTCTTGCCTTTAGTTTGTGGTTTTTCTTGATAGTTTTCTTAAATATTTGGTAGCACATGTTAAAGACAAAAGTTGTTTAATTGTGAAATTCCACTATAAAGAAAACACAGTATGAATATGCCCAGTAGCATATTTGCATACGTGTCTAGAATTCTGTGTATGGAAATACTGTAGTCAGAGACAGTATTCAACACTGAAGCAGTTCCTGGAACATAGTAAGTCCCTACAGGTATGTGTTGAAGACATTAACTGTGTAAGTAGCGAGTGGACAGTAGAGCCTTTGGTCATTTCCACCCTCTTTCGATTTTGAGGGTTTGGGGTGTTAAGGGAGGGATATGTTAAATGAGACCTTAGATCTTAGTATTGATTTGGTGTTGCATTGTAGAACTCTTGCCCTAACTTGGTTGAGAATGAAGAAGGCCCTGGAAGTGGTAGTCTTGGGTGTTTTGGGAGACACTACCCTCCACCCCCAATGGGAGTGACCATCAGAGGTTGACCCAGAGAGAAACCGGCAAACACCATCCTCCTCCTCTTAAATTTGCTCAGGTCTTAAGGCTCTTTGGGGGTGGGGAGTGAGTGACACGGCCTTGAGTCAGGGACTAGCTGAGGAGTCCCCGGCCCAAGGAAGGTCACTTGCGAGTTGGTGTGGTGCTGTGGCCTTCTGGCTCTGGGGCCTAATGGGCCTGTTTTACTATTTTTTGTTTACCAGCTGTGTGACCTTGTGTAAGTCATTGACTGTCAGCCCGAGTTTCTGACCATACCAACATCAAAAGATGGTTGGGGGCAGGGGTAAGCTTGACGATCATCAAAGTGCGCAGCTCAGTGCTTGGCACGTCTGAGTGCTGATAGATGTTGACTGATGGACTGATTTAGTGAGCATATAGGTGCTCCGTAAATGTAAGTTTCATTCCATCTCCTAACATCTTCAGCCATATGTATATGAGACGTGGGGTGGGACTGGGGGGAAGAAAGTGAGAGACTTGAGATTCTCTTCCTTAAGGAATGATCTTCCCTAGAATTGGTGGGGAGGAAAGGAATTTAAAAGATGTATTTCCCCAATTTAAAAAAGCCTTTATTTATACTTAAATAACAGCATACATGATCATTTTATGAGTAAATCAAACTGTATCATTTTAAAATGTGCATATTTTAAAGTTTTATCAGTTACTTACATTACAGACTGTTTGCAAAATAGAGGGAGGATCACTCGTAATCTTACATAGCACTGTCAGCAGTCTGGTGTCGTGTGTCCAGTCGAATCAATTGACACTAGATATGCATGTCTCATGTGTATATTTCTGTTTCCCCCAAGTCTTCTCTTCACCTGTCCCCATCTACCCAGATCATTTGGGAAATGCAAATGTGTCGTCCTAAGTGTGCCCACGGATTGCGATGTCCGCCAGGTACTGTTGACTGGCTGGAGATGCTAGCAGCAGTGATGAGAAACAAAGCAGAGGAAATAGTTAATGGTAGAGAAGAGAAAGGGGAGCAGAGGTGGTAGGCCAGGAACAGGGAATAAGTATGGTTCTGCCCGCACGTGCCCATATGCACACACACTTAAGGCCATTTAAAGAGAAGCGGTTGGGAATGAGGTTGCGTTTGCTGAATTAGTGGTTGGTTTTTGCTGTCTGGATAGCAGCTGCCGCCAGCTCCTCATCTAAGAGGCTTTCTTTGCTACCACCTTCACTGGTTTGTGGAAAGCTTCTGGCTCCATAGACTGTTGAGAATTCTAGGAGAAAATTCCTAATCCTGTTTGAATGTATTCTTACAGGACTATGTATGTACAAAAGAAGAATCAGCTTAATTGGCCCCACATAGATGTCACATGAGAGTGAAAAAACCCGGGGTATAAAATCAAAGGAACTGCTGTCTGCTGAGGAGCCCACTTCCAGCAGAACCTTCTCTGTTCTTGTGAGTCTGTAGAGTGTGCTTATGTCACTGGAATCCTAGTCTGGCATGGGGCAGGCAGAGGAGCAGGAGCCCTGAATGGGTTCAGATCTTCTGCAAACTTGAGGTTAGCAGATCTGCCCTTTGAGGGTGTCAGGCTGGAATTTGGGCCTGGAGTCCGTGTTTGTCCAAGGATGTTACTTGGATGAGCGCTGGAGTGCACTTGCACATGTATGTACTCCCACGCCCTCGTGGATTGGGAAGGCGCCATAGCACAGGTTAGATTCCCGGCTTTCAGGGAGCCTGGTTCATTTTTGTCCTCGTTGTATATAGAGCTTGAACTTGGCGTTCCCCAGGTCCGGTACCATTGCCTTTGCTGTCTGCCTTGTGTTTCACTGCTGTTTTCTGAGTGCCTCGTGTGCAGCCTGTCCTTCAGCCCTCCCTGAAGCTCTCCTGGCCAGCCATGTTCCCAGCTCCTTTTCACGTGCTCTGTAGCCAGCCTCACCCTGCATTGTTCTTACTTGGGTCAGGTGCCCCCGCTGGACTCTAAGCCCCTAGAGGGCAGGTATTTGGGGGCGTCATCCACCTCTGCAGCCCTAGCTCCTGGTCTAGGACATAGCATGTGATAGGCCTTCTTGGATAAGAAAGGGATGAATCCATCTGTTCACCAGTAACTATTGGGGATGGGGATTTGTGCTTAAAGGTGGGACAAAGGAGAGAGTGATTCAAAGTAATGAATTACTTCAGTGAACCTGTAGGCTCCAGCCTCAGTAGGAGAGACAGATTCTTTTGGGCAAGATGTCCCGCCCTTGGTCTGCCAGCATTTCCCCAGAACTACTGTTGTGTTTTGGTGTCAGTTTCTTCCCCCTACAATGCTGACGTTCTCCATTATGTTATCAGGAAGTAACTTTCAGCTATTGTTGGACATTCTTGATCAGGGGTTAGTTAGTAAACTGCAGTCCATGGGCCAGATCTGGCCCTCTGCCTGTTGCTAATAGAGTTTTATTGGAACACAGTTGTACCCATTTGTTTATGTATTTGTGTGTGGCTGTTTTGTGCTAGCATGACAGAGTTGAGTAGGTGTGGTAGAGACTTTTGGCCTCAAAACCTAAAATATTTACTACCTGGCCCTTTTCTCAAGGTACGTTACTAACCCTCTAGTAACTGTCAGCCCATCGTTTGGTGGTGAGTGTCCGATGTGGTCAAGAGGTGGTGCATGCATAAAGAGTTTTAAAGGCCCGGGCCGGGAACTTTGGGCAAATCATCGAGGTACTTTGCCTCATCTGTGAGATGGGCATTAAAAACAACACCTATCTCTCAGAAGGTCTTGGGAACTGCTAGTGGGAGCACATTGCGGATGTCAGAGCAGGCCCTGGTTTGGCCGTGGACGTTATTGCTGCCGTTCTCTTTCTCAGGAGGAGGAAGCCAAGAAGCTGGTGAGCGAAGCCATCGCAGCCGGCATCTTCAACGACCTGGGCTCCGGAAGCAACATCGACCTTTGCATCATCAGTAAGAGCAAGCTGGATTTTCTCCGCCCGTACACTGTGCCCAACAAGAAGGGGACCAGGTGAGTGAAGGAGACGAAGTTCTTCCTGGGTCCCCTGGCATCATGCCACCCTTGGTATCTCCATGGCATCTGGATGGAGTTTTCCTGGTTCTTTCCACATTAAGTACATCCAGTGTTCCCAAATCAGCCTCCCGCACAGACCTTCGGCTCGTTACTTGCTTTATGCCAGTGGGCTGCTGTCAGGTGTAGGAAAGTGATCTAATTTGATGGGAGAGGTGGAGGGTGGCCCAGGAAAGAGCCCTAGGCTGGGAGGTGGGGTGGAGCGGTTTGGATCATCTGCTGTCCTTTCTCAAGTGTCTTAAAGAATCCCCTGATTTCTGTGAGAAGGTGCATTTTTCAGAGCAGCCCCAGCACTTTCCCTCAGAGTGCCCCGAGATTCCTAACTGGGTGTAAGTCAGCAATGCTAACAGCCTCCCAGAGGTGGCCTTGGGAGCTGATGTGTGTCTGCTGTGCTACAGGGAGTTGTGCCGTTTAGCCTGTGCTACATGCCGAGTGGGCCCCTCAGCTCAGTGGTGCAGCCCAGACTCAGAGCAGTGGGAGAAGGTTTTAGTTGATTTGCTGAGCAGAACTGGAAGGTTTCCAAACCTAGTGGCTGGCATGTGTCACAGGAGCAGCTGATTTGCAGTGTCTCATCACTATCCAGCTGTTTGACCGTCCTGTGGCTCCTGACCTCTTCTGGGAGCCCAAGCAGCTCAGGATGGGATCCCGGAGTGCTGCTTCCAGCTGTAGCATCTGGGTGCAGCACAGGGCATTTATAAACTACGGCTCCCACCCAGCCCCACAGCTAGCACAGAGGAAGCGAGCATCACCTTCTGCAAGCTTGCTTTCATCTCCCACTGCACACACCACTCCGTATCAGGAGTAATTCACAAGGAAAGAATGGAACGTTCAGAACCAGCAGATACTCACTGTGGGCTGCACTCCACCTTGTGGAAGCTCAGTGGGCTCTTGATGGGGTGGGACAGCACGGCGCCAGAGAGCTCTGGCACTGAGGTTGGAGAGTGTTGGTGGCTGGCTTGGTGGCTTCCAGCAAATCAGTCTGTCTGGGAAATGGAGCTCAACCAGATGACCTCTAATGAGACCATGAAGTCCCTTGGGCCTTTAGCAGGAAGGCAAGCTACCTTTCAGGCCCAGAGCTGTGTTGGGGAACCAGGCTTTGCCGAGCTCCGGGTAGGCAGGACCCAAGTACTCCACGTAGCCTGCTTTGCTAGTTATTTGCGAGATGCTGCGTAATTTAAGCAAGTCCACGATGAAGCAGTGATGGGGTAGGGAATGGTTACACCATTCAGGCTGGACCGGGTCCTGGGCGAGGACTCTGAAAGCCACGTTTGGGCTAGTGAGAAAAGTGGTATTTGTGGTTGCCTAGGGAACCTGTGCTCAGCGCAGGAGTCTTCATCCACAGGGAGCGCAGCAGCGGCGCATCCTACTTCTGGGACGTGGGCTGCTCCGCTTGTAAACAGAGGCTCTAAACACCCAAGAACAGAAACAAAACCGCCTTGTGGCTGCTTGTGAAGAATCAGCGAGGCGGCCCAGAAGGTGCTGGGCGCGTGGTGGGTGTGCAGTAACCTGCACGGGGCCCGCTCCCCATCGGTGTCCTGAGGCCAAGGGCAGCAAGTGTCCAGGCTCCCTGGAACCTCCCTGTTGTCTTCTCTGCCAGTGACTGAAGATGGGGGCACTGCCTGAGTTAGGGGAGCCCTTCCCAGGGTGGATGCTAGGGTGCAGGCAGGGCTATAGGCCTGAGCAAGCGTCCCATGCCCTGCGCCACTGTGGGCCTTGCCTGGCAAGTCCCTGCTGCCTGCTCTGCTCGCAGCCCTCCAACACAGTGTTGCAGTCCACTGGCACGTAAGGTGGAAGCACTGAATGCATGCTGCCGACATCGGGCACCATCACCACAGTGGTGAGGAGGTGTCCAAGCCTCCCGGAGACACTGAGGGGCGGTTCAGAGTCACCAGGCACAGAGAGGCCACGTGGGACTTTGGCTCTTTGGAATGAGAGGCATCCTCAAACTGATGGGGTGGGGACACTTGGTTAAAAGGTACTTTTGCTTGGATCCTCTAAGAGAGTGGGGGTTGGGGGGAGGCTTGGCAGAATAAAGGCAGGCCACTCGGCTGACCGTGCTCCTGACCTGGATAAAGAACTGTGGAAGTTGCTCTCCTTGTTCTGCTTCCTGCTCCCTCTTTTAGCCCATGTGCCCAGGCGAGAGGATGGGTGTTCCTGGAGCACAAGGTCATGGCACAGCCAGCAGCCTTCTGGTAGTTCCTGAAGGACAGTAAGTTTGATAGAGATACTATCCCAGCTGGGGCTAGAGCCCAGGAGCAGTTGGTTGTGTGCTGCCATTTGACAGTATCCTAATTCCTGACCCACTGTGAGAATTAACAGGCCAAATATGTATCTTCTAGACTGTCTGGTGCTCAAAGAAACCTCTGCCAGATTCACTCCAGGAAGGTGTTGGGTGTGTCCTAGTGGGGAGGCACTGTGTCCCTGAAGGGGACAGTTAACTTTTCTTGAGTCTTGAGAGTGGTCTGAAATGACAGGCCCAGAGTCTGGCTGCACATATTTTTACACTGTTTATGCTTCCAGATGTTTGTACAGTGTCTGAGGTAACAGTTAAGTCATTCTTGTTGCTGCACAGAAGAGCAGTCATGCCCTTCTCTTGTGTAATGATGGGATTTGCTTCCTGCTGTCACTGAAAGGTACTGTAGGGAGGTTGAAGATTGATGTCAAGGGACCAAGTGCTTCCCAGCACTTGCTGGGGATGGTGGGGTGGGGGAGAGTCACGTGTCCACCAAGGGCCAGGTGCCGTGTTCACTGATGACGCTCTGTGCCTCCCAGGCACCCCCATTTTGCAGCACTTGAGAACTGAGGAACTGAGGAAGTTGAATTGCCCAGGATCACAGAGCTGGGATCGGAAGAGCCAGGAATCCAGTCCACCCTGCTCACTGCCTCACCTGATCTGTCGCCTGCCCGCTGGCACCTTGAGGGGAATCCTAACTGTGCTTTTGTTTTTCTCTCACTAGGCTTGGCCGGTACAGGTGTGAGAAAGGGACCACTGCAGTCCTCACTGAGAAAATCACTCCTCTGGAAATTGAGGTGCTGGAAGAAACAGTCCAAACAATGGACACTTCCTGAATGGCGTCAGTGGGTGGCTGGCTGTGGTTCTGGAAGATGGTGGGCATTGGAGGCCCAGTAAGACATTCATGTGGCTAGTGTTTGCTGAAACGCAATAAAAAACAAAAACCAAATTGGGCAGCTGAGGTGTGGGCACTGTGTGGTGTTTTAGGGGGCAGTCTGGGGCTGCTAAGGCCATTGGCCTGACCCTTCAGGGTGTTGATCCTCCTTGAGCACTGGCTCAGGAAAGCGTAGGAGCCATGCACCCTTCTGCTGTCAGAAGTCAGAGTGGACTCCCTTGAGGCTTCAGGTGAACATCGATACCTGCCCCTTTTGTTGGCTGACTCTGTTCGGGGTGGCCTCTGGTTTGGTCTGGTTTTGAAATGGGGTGGTGAGTGCAGCACAGCTTCCACCTCAGCAGCAAGTAGGAAAGAAATGGCAAAGCCAAACCTCTGAGTTCTCAAGCCCAGCTCAGTTCTGAGTACCAAGAGAAGGTGGGCAGGTGCACCGCCAGAGCTGCGTGAAGGTGGGTGGACCTCACTTTGGCCGGTTTCACAGAAATAAAAGGAATGTTTTGGGGTTACTGTTTTGAAGTAAGTAGGACATGATCATTTCACACACACTCAGGCCCGGTGAGTGGCTGAGACCATGCCCCTCCAGAGGGTCCAGGTGGGCAGATTGTTCTCATGGTGTGGAAAGCGGGTGGCGTGCACAAAGTAGGTTCATTGCATGCTGGGGCTGGCAGCGTTGGGGAGGCACGGTAGGGGCTCAGAGAGCTGCAAGCAGAATATCGGCACAAAGTGTGTCTGGAATCAGAAAAACCTTCAGTGGTAAGCACTAGGCAGGCAACACGGACTTGATTCTCCCTTGGAGAGAACATTCCAGGGTGAATCTGCTCAGGCCAGCTCCTATGTCACAGCTGCCAGGAGCAGGCCGGGGAGAACAATGGAATTACCTCATGAGCACAGCAACTTGGCTGATGAGTATCAGAATTATTTGGGGAGCTTAAAGAAATCCTGGGATTACTGAATGGGGCCTGGGAAGTTGTGTTTTTCGAGGTTCCTCAAGAAATTGTGCGTTAGACACTGTTTTAAGTTTTGGATCTACTGGTTTAAAAGCAAAATCTCCAAAGCCATTTAAAAATCTTCATGAATTATAAGTAACTCCCAGTCACCCTGTTTTATTTCGACCATGGAGAAAAAGTACAGAGGAAAGGCTGCCTGTGGAGAGACTGTCGGGCAGACGGTGTCACAGCAGATCCGAGTCTACGCGCGGAAGCAGCAGCCGTCTGGCCCTGGGAGTTTCCTCCAGGAAAAGCCCGGTCAGCGAATGCCTGCAGGCAGCAGGTGTCAGGAATCACCTGCCCGATGCCAGCGCTGCTCTCGTCTGGAGGGCCAGACTGTCATCAAGTCAGTGACGACAGCTCAGACCACTGGAAGGTTAACTTTACGTACAAAAACAAAATTCAAATGATTTCCTTCAGAGCTGGAGTTTTCTTAGGTTCACATTTATAAATTAGTCTTCACAGTTAATCCTGTTTGGGAACAAGAAATAAGGAACACCTTTCTGGTTTCCTACACATGATACAGGTGTACATTAATTCTTGGCTTCCGTGGCCCATGGACTTCAGTTTGTGAAGGGTGAGTGGCTACCATTTTTGGATCATCTACTTTGTACTAGCTAACCGGCATATTTTATTTCAGATTCTGTCAGCAATCCTGAAGGTAGATAGGTACTATTAATCTCATTGTACAGATGAGGAAACTAAGGCTCAGAACGGCTAAGAAACTTGCCCAAGCCCAAAGTCACGCTAGGAAGTTGCAGAACCAGAATTTGTAAAGGATAGCCCTTAGCTTTTTTACATCCCATCCTTCCTTCCCATGGAGGAAAATGCTTAACACTGATCATGAAATGAACCGCCAGCATTCAAGGAGGTGATGAAATGCCTGGTACACAGCAGGTGTCCAGGAGAAGATGGCCCAGCCTGGTTGCCAGGAAGATGCCCCTGCTTCCCGATGCCATTTGCCTGTGATGCTCTGGCAGGTGCAGGGCTCTCATCATCACTCACTAAGTTATAAAATATAGATAAAAATATTAGCAGAATCTCCACTCCATGGAAAAAAATGACTTCCACTTTATCCCTTTACAACAGAGTAAATTAAGCACACAGCTTGATTGAAAAGATACTAAGAACTAAACTGAACTCGGTACTAACCATTTTCAAAGGCTCACTACACAAATCACACGGTCTCCTGCAAGTCTCCTGTTAGCATAAGCCTTGACAGGTCACTGGAGGAATTACCCTAAAGATTCACATTACAATCCAGATACAGGGGGCTGCCGTGGCTCGCTGAACCACCTGCCCTTGTTAACCCAGCTAAGATTGTCCCCAACAGTATGAAGAAAGGACTTTTGAATTTGACTGTCAGTGACGTGTGGCCAGCGCCCCTCCCTCAGCTGCTCTGCCTCCAGCATCTGCTGTAAGGCTGGGCAGCCTTTTGGGGAACCTGCTGAACCCTGTGGTCTTAGCTGTTCTAGGCTACCAGGTGGCCACTCGAAGAGAAGACGACTCAAGTAAGGCAAAGTGGTGCTGGCTTTGATAAGGCACGGTGCATCCACACTCAGGTGCTGGACGTCCAGACGTGCATCTGCTTGGCCACCTGGTGCACGTAGCCGATGTCAGGTCTCTGGTCGGGGTCAGGGTAGATGCACATGCTGACCAGTTCTCGTAACTGCAGGGGAGAGAACGGTGTGTTATTCTCAAGAAAAGAAAGCAGCCTTGCTGAGGCTCCGCACTCTGCAGTCTGTCTGCATGAAGGCACTTCCTCCTCAGAGCAACCAGACAGTCCTGTTTTCCCCGTCAGAGCTGAAGAACGGTGTTTAGCTGGGGCAAGTAAGGGGTGCGCAGCCGCGTAGCTCCCAAGGGCTAGCCAGTACCCTTCCTAGGCCTGTCTAGTCCCAAAGACTGTGCTTTGAGACTGTAAGAATGGTTAACCTCCAAATAATTTTGAACTTGTAGCTGTCCACACCATTGGGCAAACTGTGTGTGTCTCTCTCTGCTGGGAAAAGTGTGTGTGTATCTGCTGTCAGTCACGCAGATGCCCAAACCAGAGGACAAAACTCAAGGCAAGGGCTTATTGATCATAATAAACGCATTAACATGCAGCAGGGCTGCAGTCTGCCCACCTCCCGGCCCCTTTATTGTGCTCATGAAAGACGGAGCTTTTAATTATACAGACACTGAAGGCTGCTCCCGCCCCGAGGTGGGGGAGGGGTGCCTTGCACCTCTGATCGCCTCCATTCTTCTGATAGCCGGAGTGCCAATTATTTTAATGGTAATTAAAATAATGACCTTAAAATGCCTACATCTTACCCTGCATCATGGGCTCATAGCCATTGGTTTTCATTTAAATACCTGCTGCTGGAGGGGTGGCCAGCCCCGCAGGCCGCAGCAGCAGGAAGCCAGGTGGTTCTGAACCAGAGGGGGCTCTGGTGGTCTCAGTGGCCACACTCAGGGAGTCTGGGGAGGGCCCAAGGGACGTTCTGGAGGCCTGGGGGCTACTACTGCGCAGGCTCCTTAGGCTGAGGGGTGGGGCCTGGGCTTCCTGTAGACTAGGGCTCCTCTCAGCTGATGGGGCATTTTCTCCCTGGGCCGCAGAGCCTTAGGGTATCCCTCCCACCTGTGTGCATGCCTTCCAACCAAGAAGCCCAGGTGACACGGGGCCTGCAGCCTGCTAGGCCACTCCTGGCGTCTGAGGTTGCCTATGGATGGACGGCTGTTTTCTGAACCGTACAATATTCGGGGGAGGTACCTGTGGTCGGCCTCTAACAGGTTAAAATACCCAAGAAAACCAGATTCAGGTGAAGTGTCTGTGACTCAAACTAGTTTATGACGTAAACGCACAGTTGGCAATAAGTGCATGTTTGAAATTTTCAGAAATCAAGAGAAACAAAAATAATAAAGTCTTATTTTCATTTCTAAGCGGTGATATAACTTTAAAAATAGGGCCCAGAGAGAGCCAGTGCTCTGGGGAGTGAGGGCTCGTGGCCAGGAAAGGGTTGACTTGGGATGGCGGCTTCAGTGCTCATTTCAGCCTCAAAAGTGAAGCAGAGAGGGCAGCTCCCATTTCTAGACTGACGGCCAAAGCAGAGTGGTCATCAGCTCCAGCTGCATGGCTTGGTACACGAGTCCACATTCAGAAGATGAGAAAGGAAAAAGCAAATGGCAACTTTGTAAAGAGATGCAACTTGTTTTTCCTCCCACTGGGAGCAGAAACACTTCCTCCAAAGGTGCAGGTCAGAACTTGGGAGCCAGGAGAGGAAGGGCACTGCGCAGCGCCTGACACTGGAGCTCCTCTAGCCCTGGAGTCTGCAACGCCAGCGAGCACAGGCTCAGCACCGGCGCCCGCGAGGAGCCTCCTGCCCGGACACAGGGGCGGAGCACTCAGGACCTGCCCTGTGCAGCTTGGCCGGGGCAAGGGCACTCCTTCCAGACCCTCACCCCAGCTAATTGATGGACCACCAAAGAGACACGCCATCAAGAAGCAGGATGGGTCTGTGGCTGGGTGTCTGGGTTCAGATCCTGCCTCCCCGGTCTTTTTAACTTGACTGTGTCTGTCTGTTCTTTATTGGTAAACGGGTGAGGGGGAGATTCAACTCAGGAAGTCTGAACATGAGCTGTTACTATTATCCTGAGGTGATGGCCTATGGTCCTATGGGGTGGGCCCAGGGAGGCCCCAGACTCACCCACTAGCATTGACCTTGAACAGAAATAAGGGTCACATGACATTTAGTGAGCACTGAGTCACCGACTGAGCCAGGCCCCGTCCACTGGCCACTTTCGGTGGTGGTGGCAGTGTTAGCCTGGTGCCTTACCTTAATCCTGATGCTAATCCTGTGTGGAAGATTTAATATTATCCCCATTGTACAGGTGAAGAAACTGACTCAGGGAGGTTATGTGACTCACCTAGGAACAGTGCAGAGTGTGTGTGAACATGTGTGTACACTTTTGACCCTGCTGACCCTGCTATGCCAGGAAACCTGTCCTTTCTTCCTCACGATTATCCACCAAGGAGATTATCTGTTAGTCCCATCTTCAAGGGGATGGATCCGAGGAAGAAGATACACATTCCTAGTACCTGGCACA